TCTTGAACTCCTGAGCTTAAGTGATCTACCCGCTTCAGCCTCCCAAAGTGTTGGGACTACAGGCACCCAGACTGTATCAGATTTACAATCCGCATTTCAAATGTCAGTTGTCCCAATAATGTCCTTTATGGCATTTTTTTTCTTAAAGTACATGATCCAGTCAGAAATCCTATGTTGTATTTATTAATAGTTGCTGTATCTTTCTTAGCTTGTAATCTGAAGCACTTCAGCCTTTTCTTGCCTTACATGACATTCACATTTTTCAAGTCTGCAGGTGAGTAATGTTTGCCCTGGTATAAGCATTATTTTCTCCCTTACGTGCAATATGTTTGCATGAAAATCATGCAAATATCCTGCTTCTAAACAAACTTTCCCTCCTGGATTAAGTATTCATCAATGATTCTTGAAGCAATTTTGACTGTGATGGTTACAGAGTGGTGATTTTCCAGCTCCACTTCTTCACATTAAGGAAAGCCTTTCTGTTTTTCTCCGTTCATTTATTTTATTTGTTTACTTATTTGTCTAAATCCTAACTTCTTGTCCCTTTCCCTTTAAACCAATTGTGTTCCTCAGGAATGTCAGCGCCTCCTTTATAGAACAAGGGGGAAAGTAACAGGGTAGAGCCCAGGCCCCACACCCTTGCTGCTTCCTGAGGAGCACCACATTTATCTGTTTCCTATAGCAAGGTTCATGTAAGATTTTGTTTACAGAACAAGCGGTCTTCTACTTTTTTTAAAGTTTGAAAACCACCACCTTAAATAAATACCCTCTGTGCCCATTAAAAAAAAGAAAAAAGAATGCTGAATCTTTTTCTATAGACAGCTGAGAATCTGACTTGCTTTAACCAGAGGCATGACGGTGGTAGTGATAGCTAATATTTCCTGAGGGCTCCTTCTGTGTGCCAGTAAGCACTTACAAATATTATCTTAATTAATTCTTAGTGAAACTCCCAAGGAGGTAATTGGTGCTACCTAGTCTTACGTGTTTAGAAGATTCTGCAGGGCACAAAGGGTTGCTTTTCAGGTGTTTTCATTGCCGTTTTGGGATTGAGCTTTCTCAACTCACCTGTATCAGCTGGCGTTTGTCCATCTGTTTTTCAGCCTTCAAAATGTTGCTGTTACTTTTTATCCTCCCAATGCTTTAGGTCTTTAGACACACACGCGCGCATTTAATGGGATTCTAAGAGGGAACAAAGTTAGATGAGGATATTTAATCCATCCTTTTAATCTGGAGGCCCTAGGGATGAGTTATTTAGACGCAGGGTACCTAATATTTAGTTTAATTCATATATTGTTTTAGCTGAATTGGATGTTGAAGGAGTTCCAATACTAAATGAGGGGTTGGGTTACAAAGTGGACATTGGGACATTGTTTTTTAGCTATTGATACTCATTCCTTCTTCCTACTAGACCTCTATTTACTTTGGGGGCCTTAGCTCCTATCTCATGTGCATATTCTTAGGAAGGTACTCCCTACCCACATCAAAACCAAAGGAACCAGAATTGCCCTCTCCCTGCTCCAGTATAACCACAGAGTAGACATCCCTTCCAGTCAACCCCCCCCAACCTAAAAACATACAATATTCTGATTTCTGATTGATACTTTGGTTGATTGAGATGGGATCTTGTTATGTTATGTAGGCAGATCTTGAACTCCTGGCCTCTAATGATCTCCCACCTTGACCTCCCAAAGTGCTGGGGTTACAGGCATGAGCCTGGCCAATATTTTGATTTCTATAACATAAGTTCGTTTTGCCTAATCTTGGATTTCGTATGAATGGTACCATACAGTTTTTACTCTTTTTCCCTGTGGCTTTTTTTGTTTGGCTGAATGTTGTTAAGACTCAATCATATTGCATGTACTAGTGGTTCAGTTCTTTTTATTGCTAAAGTAGTATTCCACTGTATGAATATATCAAAATTTGTTTTTCTGTTCTTCTTTTGATGGCAATTTGTGGGTCTCATTATGTTGCCCATGCTGGAGTTCTATGGTGTGATCATAGCTCTCACTACAGCCTGAAACTCCTGGCAAACAATTCCCCTACCTCAGCCTCCAGAGTAGCTGGGTCAGTGGATGTGCACCATTGGGCCCAGCTGAAGAGTTACATCCCTTGATCATAAAGTAGGTGTATTAGTCCACCTGGCCCAGCTTAGGAGTTACATCACTTGATCATAAGGTAGGTGTATTAGTCCGTTTTCACACTGCTGATAAAGACATACCTGGGACTGGGTAATTTACAAAAGAAAGAGGTTTAATTTGACACAGTTCCACGTGGCTGGGTATGTTCCACAATCATGGTGGAAGGTGAAAGGCACGTCTTACCTCGCAGCTGGCAGGAGAGAGGATGAGAAAGATACAAAAGCAGAAACCCCTGATAAAACCATGAAATCTCATGAGACTTATTCACTACCACGAGAACAGTATGGGGGAAACTGCCCCCATGATTCAAAGTATCTCCCACTGGGTCCCTCCCACAACATAGGAATTATGGGAGTACAATTCAAGATGAGATTTGGGTGGGGACACAGGGCCAAACTGTATCAGTAGAATGTATGTCTGACTTCATAAAATATTGTGAAATGGTTTTCTAAAGTATTTTATTTTTTTTATTTAGCATTTTTCTCTCAAGAGGATAAGCCATTTATTTTTACTATAGGCTTTTAAAATATATTTGTGTTGCATGCACACGTACGTTCATTGTGGCACTGTTTACAATAACACAGACCTGGAACCAACCCAAATGCCCATCGATGACAGACTGAACAAGGAAAATGTGGCACATATACACCATGGAATACTATGCAGCCATAAAAAATGATGAGTTTGTCTCCTTTGTAGGGACATGGATGAATCTGGAAGCCATCATTCTCAGCAAACTGACACAAGAACAGAAAATCAAACACTACATGTTCTCACTCATAGGCGGGTGTTGAGCAATGAGAATACACGGACACAGAAGGGAGCATCACACACTGGGGTCTGTTGGCGGGGAATAGGGGAGGGACAGCGGGAGGTAGGAAGGTTGGGGAGGGATAACATGGGGAGAAATGCCAGATATAGGTGACGGGGGGATGGAAGCAGCAAACCATATTGCCGTGTAGGTACCTATGCAACAGTCCTGCATGTTCTGCACATGTACCCCAGAACCTAAGGTGCATTCTAAAAAAATGCATATTTGTGTCATTAGCTCCATTGTACAGATCTGAAAAACAAAGTGGTTTCCTGAGTCACTAATGGTCAATTTGTCTCTAGTTTCAGAGCTTTTAAGAGAATAAAAAAAAGGATTGAAACTTTAAAAGAAATATGAAGTAAATTACATGTAGAAAATAGGAAATATCAAAATATCTTCAATATTTTTATAGATTAAATCAGGTACTGCACTAAGTGATGAGACTATGGACATGAATAAAACATGATCCTTGCCCTCAAGGAACCCACAAAGAGTCTGGTAGAAGAAAAAAGCGAGTTCATTACAATATTCTAAGTGGTTTAGTAGAGGACACTGAAAATGAGTGACATGGGAGTTCTGTGGAGTAAGCCACTGCACCTAGGTTAGAGGAAGGAGATGGGAAGAGAGAATAACTCTTGAACAAAAAAAAGGGAGCTTCACAGAGGTTTGACTTGATGAGAGTAGCACTTTAATCAGAAAACAATAGTAATGGCATTTAAAGCAGAGGAACAGCTTATGTAAAGGCATAGAGATGGATAACAACTTTAGGATCTTGGAGTAGTAAAAGTTGTCCAGTAGTCTTAGAAAATAAGGCCAACACGGCACGGTGGCTCACGCGTGAAATCATAGCACTTTGGGAGGCCAAGGCAGGTAGATCACGAGGTCAGGAGATGGAGACTGTCTGGCTAACATGGTAAAACCCCATCTCTCCTAAAAATATAAACAATTAGCTGGGCTTGGTGGCACCCACCTGTAATCCCAGCTACTTGGTAGCCTGAGGCAGGAGAACTGTTTGAACCCAGGAGGCGGAGGTTGTAGTAAGTCAAGGTCGTCCTACAGCACTCCAGCCTGGGAGACTCCATCTCAAAAAAAAAAAAAAAACCAAAGGAAAGAAGGCCAACAGATGAACAGGGATGTGGCTTTTAAAAATGAAGGAAATTTATAATTTTGCACTAGGCTTGAGTGAAATGCTACACAAAACACAACTTGAAGCTAAATTTACATCAATATATTTCTATTTTCATGTTTTCCTCTGTGAAGGGATTTTAACAAAGCTGATGTTTTATTTTATTTTGGTGTTCAGAAGACTGGCTGATTAATTCCAGGAGGACGAATTTTCCAACCTTGGAGAAAAAAAAGATTCTGTCCTTTATGTGAGAGGCTCCAGTTGGTTGCCTCTTTTGAGTATCTCACCACTCACTATTTGTTCTTTGTCCTGGTAGATTGACAGGAGAGCAATTTCAGATAGGAACTGATTAGGAGTTTCTAGTGTAGAAGGTATATAATGAGAATTCTTGTCTCCAGAAAAATATCACTCTGTAATGACAGCTAAAGTAATGAGCGTTAGAAATACTATGAATAATTGAAAAACATATGAAGAATAATTGTGAAAAACTCTTTTTTCCATCAATTTTTTTCTTTCTTTTTGAGAGAGTCTCGCTCTGTCACCCAGGCTAGAGTGCAGTGGCGTGATTTTGGCTTACTGCAACCTCCACCTCCCAGGTTCAAGCAATTCACCTGCCTCAGCCTCTCGAGTAGCTGGGATTAGAGGCACCGATTACCATACCCAGTTTTTGTACTTTTAGTAGAGACAGGGTTTTGCCATGTTGGCCAGGCTGGTCTCAAACTCCTGACCTCAGGTGATCTAACCGCCTCAACCTCCCAAAGTGCTGGGATGACAGGTATGACCCACTGCGCCTGGCCCCATCAAACTTTTTATTTGAGATCCTGAAAAACAGCAGGATGAATAAGACGAAGATCTATTTTTTATTTTATTTTTGTTTTTTTGACATGTATCCTGAAGTTCTAAAAATCTATTTTTTAACTGAGCAAGGCAAAGATTGTGTTCTTCCTTCCAAAATCTGATTCCTTACTTGAAAAGCCTACAGGATAAACAGGCTGGTAACCATGTGATTGGACATTCACATTGAGTCTTAACCCCCAAGCACACGTCCTCATTGTCTGCAGCCAGATTTTTCTGTCTCAATCCTGATTTTTGTTCTAGCTTCAAAAATGTCTTCAGCTGCTCTAGACTCTAAGGCCAGTACAACGTGAGGCAGAACCAAATCAAATACCAGAAGTATTCAGATGGGAAATGTGTTGAAGTGATGAAGCAGTTGGGGAAGTCATTGCAGTGGTTTAGAGAGGCTCAAGCTATATTTCAAGAATAAAACACAATTTGGAATGTGGAAACAGCTTCGTTGTCAATATTAGACTTTGGAAGTAGATGGGAAGCACTTAGTAGACTGTTGGGACTTGGAATGAATTCTAAGAGACCGGTTGGTCAGTTGAAGTCAACAATATTCACTTCTAATAATTATATTAGTTTTTCCTAGGTAACACACCTGGAGCTGTGCACATATTTTTCCTGGCAAAGTTACTTTTTTGTGTTTTTAAAGAAGGAAGGAAGAGGTTCACCCGCTGATCCCTCAGGATTGCTTCCTAATGACTTTAGGTGAGGCAGACAAACACATTTTACTTCTGTTGTTAGCCCTGAATGATTGATTATGGCTACCTGGACCTGAGTTGAGAAGGTTCTAAGGCTAATTTCAGGCTTGCTGAAAATTAAAGATTATGAATACCTGATGAAGGTGTTTCACTGGGAAGAAAAGCACCTGTATATGCCATATTTTTGTCACCTCTGATTTAGATAACTGGTAGTAGAAATAATTCTACTCAAAGAGGCAAGGGCCTGCACAGGAATGGAAACAGTCCAGGAGATTGCATGGGGTATATGGCTTGTAAGAGGGCACTCTAGAAGAGAGGGGTCCCTATAGCAAAGCTAGTTAGAAAGAAGATACCCTGGGCGTGATAGCTCATGCCTGTAATCTCAGCACTTTGGGAGGGAGCCGAAGAGGGAGATCACCTGAGGTCAGAAGTTTGAGACCAGTCTGACCAATGTGCCTGTTTGTACTAAAAAAAAAAAAATAAAAGAATTAGCTGGATGTGGTGGTAGGCACCTGTAATCCCAGCTACTCGGGAGGCTGAGGCAGGAGAATTGCTTGATTGAACCAGGGAGGCCGAGGTTGCAGTGAGCCAAGATCGCACCATTGCACTCAAGCCTGGGCAACAAGAGTGAAACACTGTCTCAAAAAAAGAGAAGACATCTTTTTCCATTGTTGGAAAAAAGCAAGAGTATTGGAGCCAACAGACTAGCTTCCAGCTCTGTTCTGCAGCTTTCTGTAAGCCTGTTTCTTTGCCCTTAAAATGGAGGTACAGAGATACTTGTTTAAGAGGGATTTGGGTTTCTACTACCACATGAGACAAGGAACAGAGAACATCTTTTCTGTTTTGTCCAGTACCTGGCAGCTGATAAGTACAAAGTGTATCACCTTCCTGCTGTCCTTGACCATTTCTCTCCTCCTAGCCCACCCATACTCAGAAGTCTGGTCTGTGCAGTCCTGAGTGTCTCAGACTTGCAAGAGATCTGTGAGTCCAGATTGTTTTCATAATAATGCTAAAACATGATTTACTTTTAATTTTTTACCCTTGAGTCTGTTTTTTTCCCTTTTTTAGAGCCAGGGTCTCACTAGCTGATCAGGCTGACCTCAAACTCTTGGGCTTGTGTGATCTTCCCATCTCAGCCTGTCTAGTAGCTGGGGCTGCAGGCAAGGGTCATAGAGCCCAGTGTCCACATTTTAAAGATCTTAAGTGTTTCATGCTTCCTGCTTTGTCACATAAAATTCATTAAGAGGCCAAGGCAGGAGAAGTACAGCAATGAAACGTGCCTTCTAATCAGTATGATGGTTGGCTGGAGGAAAAGTGCTTTGCTGTTGTTTCACTTGACAGCTGAACTTCACCACCACTTTATTCCATTGAACAGTTTTTATTTGAAAGATTGACAAACAGTGATGCTTCAGACTTGGATATTTGGCAGACATTTTTGAAAAATGAGCTAATCCAGATTGCCACGTCAGTGAAAACAACTGATAATGTTTGTTGCCAATGAAAATTTGAGCTTTTAAGTGAAATTTTGTATTTTGGAAACTTGTATCCGTAACTGTGAGCTTTACAGCTCCCCAAAACTTATTTTTTTTTTATGAGATCAGTGATGATATTAACAAATGTGTTTTGTTTTACATTGCATAAAAAATATGTTAATATTCGGATAATCTGCATAACTGAGTAAACCATATTTTCCAAATGACCAGTACATAATCTTACAAACTAATAAATGAGAAAACATCCATTTGAAGTGTAAGATAGAAAAATAAGTTTTCATGTAAAAGAGTAGGAAAACTTCATTGCTAGGGTTTCAGATTTCACACTGCAACTAGGCTTTTAAAAAATCTGACACTTAAGCACTAGAATAGGATCAAATAAGGATAGCTGCAGTTATCTGGAAAGGTTACTAAAATACCTCTCCCGTTTATAACATCTGTGTGAGGCTGCATTTTCTTCATATTCCTGTACTTCAGCCAAACAGCATATGGCAATAGATTCAGCACAAAAGCAGATGTGAGTATCTAGCTATCTTTGATTAAGCTAGACATTAAATAAAGACATTGCAAACACTAAAAACAATGCCACACTTCTTACATTTTTTTCTGGAAAATGTTATAAAATGTTTATGTTAATAGAATTTTAAAAATTTTTATGAAAATTAATGAGCATAAAAATTCTTCATTTTAACTTCTGATATGGTAAATATTGTTAGATAAAATCACACAAGCAAAAGTTGTTATTGATCCTCAGTAATTTTTTGACAGGTAAAAATTTCCTGAGACCAAAAAGCTTACGAGCACTGCCCCATTCCACTATTTCTTCTACTGGTTCTGCTTTGACTCTCAGAGGAAAACCAGGGTTCTCACAGGAAGTTCCTAAAGTAATCTCCTTTTTTAGCAAACTTTGATTATTATATTATTTGGGTGAGTCCCAGACCAAAATATACACGTTCCCATGGTGATCTTGCTTCTGCTAAGTTTTCCAGGAACACAGACTCATGGGATTATTTCTGTTTTGCTTTGTTTCTGGGCAGGTCATAGTACAACTTTGCTGAATTGCCTTTAACTGAAGTCTAGGATTTTTACTTTAATTTGTCCTGTAATTATGCTGATTTTGCTTCACTGATATTCTGTCATGTCCTTAGATTTCTAGTGAAACTGCTTACAAATCAATCAGGTAAAATTTTATGGGAAAGTCAGTGAACTAGCAGTTGGTTATGCTTGTTTAAAAAGAAACCCACAAAATTTTTATTCAAACAGTCTTGCTGGTTGTTAAATGAAATAGGTGAGCAACTAGACTTAGGTCTGATAAGTAGATTAAAATATTTCTGCTGATTGCTATAGTGTCCTTTCTGTACCTTTGAGCCATCATTCAAATACTTGGCTCTCCTCTGATGTAATAAGAAGAATCTGTGGTTGAAATATTTTGACTACAGTACTTGCTGACAAAAGACAAAAACCTTTTTAGCCGTTAGAAAAATTACTATGGCTTAAGTTTCATGTATGCCAGGAATTTTTGAAATAGACTTTATTTTTTGGAAAACTGACAGTAACTTTAACCACTGTAATGAACCACAATGCCATAAAAATTTCTGCACAACAGTTGATATGAAATGCCTTTAAAAGTTTTTGCACTGCGATTTGTAGCTGGAGCATAAAATGTGATCTGAAGAACATTTGTCAGACATTAGTTTAATGCTACTAATTTGTACTTAGATTTCAAAATCTATAAATGCAATTTTACTAACAATTATTTTCTTCATTTAAAAAATACTCATGATGTGGCCAGGCGCGGTGGCTCACGCCTGTAATCCCAGCACTTTGGGAGGCCAAGGTGGGTGGATCATGAGGTCAGAAGATTGAGATCATCCTAACCAGCATGGTGAAACCCTGTCTCTACTAAAAATACAAAAATTAGCTGGGTATGGTGGTACGCAACTGTAATCCCAGCTACTCAGGAGGCTGAGGCAGGAGAATTCCTTGAACCCAGGAGGCGGAGGTTACAGTGAGCTGAGATCACGCCACTGCATTCTAGGCTGGTGACAGAGTGAGACTGCCTTGCAAAATAAATAAATAAAAATAAAAATACCTGTGATGCTTAACTCTAGTACGATCCTCTCAATATCTGGGGGAATTGCTTCCAGAACTAATCAGATACCAAAATTCATGAATGCTCAAGTCCCGGATGTAAAATGGCATAATATTTGTGTATAACCTACACACATCCTCCTAACAGTTTAAATCATCTCTACATTAATACCTAGTACAATGTTATGTAAATAATTATTCTATATTATGTTTATTATATTGTGATTTTTAATTTTTTTCCAAATATTTTCCATAAAATATTGTTTGAATCCACCGATGTGCAACCCATGATGTGGAGGGCTGACTATTTGAAAGCTGACTTACATGCATGAATTTGGCAAGGTTTAATGTAAATTGTTCACTAGACTTCTATTTAATTTTGGTCTATCTAGGAGAAGATTCTTGAAACCAGAAAGTAAACTGGATAAAGAACCTGTAGGGACAGTGGTCTGAGTAACTTTGGCATGGTGAATTTCAGATAAATATACTGCAAATTTCATAAGGGTGTGGGCTTTGTCACTGTAGGTTCACCACTTTATATCCAGTGCTTAGCAGATAGCAAGTGCTCAAGAAATATTTGGAAAGAGAGAGGGAAAAGATGGAAGTGGAAGGGAGCAATGAGCTAGCTCAACAATATCAGTGTTATTACATGTAATTTTAATAGAATGACAGAATTTTAAGAAAATGATTGTTCACAGTTGCAGAGACTTACAGAAAGAATTAGTGTTTAGGGTTCATTTGAGATTAACCAATGAATCTGACTTAGTCTGCTTCCCAGCTGACTGGTTTCCTCAAGCAGTTCTCAGGGCATTCATTTGTTCATGAAGCATACACTTATTGGCCACCTATGTGACAGGCACTGTGCTGAAGATAAGTGAAAATAAAACAGACAGACATCCCTATGCATTTGAAATTTACATTCTAGTGAGAAAAGACAATAAATATTACATTAGTTACATGATTACATACATTATGACAGATAGAGAAAAGTGTCACGGAGAAAAAAATGAAGAAAGGGGGAAATGAATAGACATTACCATTTAACATAGAGTGAGCAGAAAATACCTCACCGAGAAGGACATTTGAACAAATATCTGAAGAAAGTGAGGAAGGGAGCCATGCAGGTAGTCTGAGAGATGAGTATTACAGAGAACAAATACAAAGATCCTGTGGACAAAGGAGGTGGGAGTTCAGTGGCTGAGTAACAGGAGAAGGAGGGTAGTGCAGAATGCAGGGAGACGTAATGAAGCACATTTTGTGAGACTTTTAGGTATTGCAGGTACTTTGATTTTTACTCTGAGTGAGATATGAAGGCAGTAGAGGGTTTTGAAGAGGAGTGACATAATCCCTATTTTTGTAAAAGATCACTGTAGGTTTGCTGTTAAGAATAATGAGAAGGTAATTGAAGGAAGAAATAGAAAAT